CCAGCACCGAAGCCACCGGTCAGACCCCGCGGTCGGCCTCTCCCTGTCCCCGGAGGTTTCCGGCTGTTTACCCTCAGAAAGTGGAGATTTTGGAGGAATTGTCAAACCCGGAGATTTTCTAGCGATGCCCACCCTTCTGCTGGCGGGACACGTCCCACCGCCGCCCAGGGGCGGGCGTCGATTCACCTCCTGCGACCCGCCGTGGCAACTTGCAACCACGACCGGGATAATCCATCCCCCAACGGCACCCTCCGTGGGATGGATCCTGCTGGAAAGCCTCCATGCTCAGCCCCCCACCACCGCAGCCCCGCGCACCGTCCCTTCCCCGCCGCGGTCCCCCGAAGGCGCCGGGGGGAGGCCGGGTTAGGGCTGGAGCCGCTTACCGCAGTAGGCAAACTTGAGGGAGAGGACGCAGCTCTCGTGGAGGTGCAGCTGGTACTTGTCGGGTTTCGTGTGGTGCAGCACTTCCACGTTGCTGCTCTCCATGCCCACCGCCAGCCACTCGCCCGTCGGGCAGTACCCCAGCGAGAAGATCTGCCGGGGAGGGGGGACACACAGAGGGGTGCTCAGGGTGGGGGGTTGGCACCCACCACCTCCGCCTGCAGCCTCCTGCCCGCGCTGTGCCTCGAGCCCCGGAGCAGGCACCAGCCACCTCCCGTGTCCCCAGTAATTCCCCATGGGAGAAAGACGCCGATGGTGGCCTGGGCACAGGGTGATCCCCTTGGCGACCGTCGTAATGGGACGGCTTTGCCCGCAGCGCTGGCAGCGAGGCCAGCGATCCCGAAAGAAACAGCCCGACAGGCAAGGAAGGACACAGCCTGGTCCTCTTCAGTCACCGAGTGTCCCCAACCACTGAAACGCCGGCACACCAAAGCCGGGAGCCGGCGGACCTGCAGCCCAGCCCCGGCTCTTGCCCTGGCTGAGGCACCCCGGCTGAAACGCAGCCTCTTCCAGGGACAGCACTTCTGTCCTTGGACAGAAAGTACCTTCCTGGCACCCTCCAGAAGAGGAAAACTCGGCGTGGGAGGCAGCAAGACTAAATAAGCTCTAAGCCACAGCTATTTGCGGGCTGGAAATGGCAGTGGCACGGCTTCTGGATGCCCAGCTCCGCGATGGTGAGTGTTAACGCAGTGGAAAGTCCCGACTGCCAGGGCCGTGGGGTCAGCAGCTGGGAGGCAGCGGAGATCTCGGCCCCACGGCTGCTTTTCTGGGCCCTGACCACACCACTCCAGTTTCACCAGCCCACCCCCCCGCCCGCGTGCCCCCCCAGCCGTTACGGCAGCGGTGGAGGTTGCCGGAGCAGCCGGGTTTGCAGAGGCACGTCCGCGTGTTTGGAGCTGCCGCACGAGACCTGCGAACGCCGGGATGGCTCCAGCCCCACGGAGACCACTGCACACGCCGAGAGGACCCGGGGTCCCAGCTTTGCCCCTCTGGACAAGGGCTCTGGGAGGGTCTGCAGGAGGAGGGAGGTGCCCGAGCCCTGCAGCCATCCCAGCTGCGGGGCACCCAGAGCCAGCCTGCAACGCCCGTGGGCATCCCTAGGCAAGCACCGCTTTCTTAACGGCAGCCCTGGATGAAAAAGCGATGAAAGAGGAGCTGAAACAAGAGCCAGGGGAGCCCCACAGCTCTTACTGCCTCGGACACTCTGGGGCTACACCTAAAGCAGTGGGGCAGCCACGCACAGAGCTAACAGGGGCCTGGGCAGGCCGTTTTCCCCGCAGGAAAAGCCCCCTCCCGCAGCCCCGCAGGAGCCAGCTGCCGAGCGGGCTGCCCTGGTTTCCACTGAGGGCCAAACTCCCTCCATGGGGTCCCCACGAATTGCTGCACAAGGAGGCCAGGACGCTCCTCCCACCCGGGGCCGAGGGCTCCCGGTCCTTACCTGGGAGGTGAAGTCGTGCTGCTGGAGCTGCCTCCCTTCCCGCAGGTCCCAGGAGCGCACTGTGTTGTCCAGACCCCCCGTCCACAACTTCGTACCGTCGTGCGAGATATCTATGCAGCTGGCACCGTCCGTGTGGCCTTGGAATTGCCTTTAGAGAAGCAAAAAAGAAAAATACAAATCTTCAAGGGGAACACTGGCAAAAAGCATGTAGGTTGCTTCAAGGGAGCCGGCGCTCCGGCTGCATCTCCAAAGCTTCCCCACACCAAGCACGCCTGGAAATCCATCCGGGGAGCAGCCTTTGCCGGGGTGCACCTTCGCTGGGCTCGCTTACAGACAAAGCATCACGAGACAGTGTCCTTGTCACCACCCCCAAGGTCCTCACGCCAAAACATGGCAAGAAAGACGCCGATCACGGCAAAGAGCAAGCCCCGGTGCCGCGGCCGGCTCACCTGACGAGCGTCTGGTTGTGCAGGTCCCAGACGGCGATGTTGCCGTCGCTGCAGCAGGAGAAGCAGACTTTGGCGTCGGGGCTGATGGCCAGGGCGTAGCAGGCGGGGGCGGAGGAGGTCAGCTCGGCCTTGATGCGGGGCGTGGGGGAAGCCAGGTCCCAGATGGTGAGGGTGCTCGCCTCGCCGCCCACGATCAGCGTGCGGCCGTCGGGGAGGAGTTTGCAGGAGCGGATATAGTTATCTCTGTTCTGCAGCGGGGGGGAAAAAAAAGATGTTAGCAGGAGGACAGAGAACGATCCGCTGCCTCAGAAGTGGGGGGAAAGTGGCAGACACACGCGCTTGGGGACCAGCAGCAACCCGCTGGCTCGCCCACGAGGGATGCTCCAGCCCCCCGCGCTGCCCCGAGCCCCCTTACCAGGCAGTCCAGCTGGGAGATGGGGCTCTTGCTGCCCGGCTGGCTGATGTCCCAAATCTTGACGCACCCCTTGCCCCCGGTGTAGACGTGCCTGGTGGGGTTGCTGATGGTGACGGCGCACACCACCTCCCCGTGGCTCAGCGTGTTGATCTGCCGGGCGTGCCGCGGGATGCCGGGACCCGCCAGGGCGTCGTGGGGAAAGGGGACCGGCTGCATCTGCCCGTCGGCGCTCACGTGGAAGGAGTAGGCTCTGCCCGGGGGGAGGGAAAACAGAGGGGGGTCAGCCCCGGAGAGAGAGGTTTGCTGCTCACCCACCATAAGGCGGGGGGTTGGCATTGCAACCTGGCTGCCAGAAGCCACCGCTGCTCTCCGGGGGCTTGGCCAGACCCAGCCCCGGGTGAAGCCCCACGCTCATCTTCCTCCCAGGCCCACTCCTCCCCACCCAACGCACACAGAAAACACCAAGAGGGGCTTACGGCTTCCCTCCGGGGATGGACGCCAGGCTCGAGGGCAGGCCGGGGGCTCTCATGGGTGGGTGTGGGTCAAAACCAACCTGCCAAGAGACGTGCAGACACGGGTGAGGCCGGACACGAGCTGGGCACACCAGCAAACAGCTCCCCATCCGTGAGCCCAGGCAGGGGTAGGGACACCCAGCGGCTCCCCCTTTTCCCTTGCTGCTCAATACCTAGCTGTTTTTTTTTTTGCCTGGCAGAAAGGCGAAGAACTGGGGAATTAGCCAAAGGTTTCAGGTATGCGAGGACCAGCGTGGGACGCGCTCACCCTCCCCATGCCATGCCCGAGCCCCTGGGGACAGGAGCAGCCGAGCGGTGCCCAGCAGCCCGGCTGCAGAAAGCCCCAACTCTGCTTTAAAGGCAGCGTTTTACTTCTTGCTTTGACTGTGTTTTGCCTTAAAACATGCAATCGAGCGCTCAGCAAGAGCGACGGGAAGGGGGCTGCGTAGCGGGTACTTCCCACGCACAGGGAGGGGGGAGGATAAACCCCAATGTAGTGACACATACGTGTCACCCCATGAGGGGGCACCTCCACACCCAGCACCCCTCAACAGCGGCCGATCC